TTAACCACTCGGCTACCCTGCCACGAGTACCCTTGTGTCACAGGGAATAAGTGAATTTCAAGGAAGTTCAGGCCTCTTTGCTATATTATATTATTTGATGGGAGTGCAAATGAAGCAAACGTATATTTGCTATAGCAATTGACTACGTTACTTATTTTCGTATTAGAATAAAGTTTCGAGACTACCATTAAATCAGTAGTCGAAACTCTACTCTAATTCGAAAATAAGTAACGTAGTCGATTGCTATAGCAAATATACGTTTGCTTCATCTGCACTCCCACCAAAAAATATGATATAGCAGAGGCCTGATCTTCCTTGAAATTCACTTTTTCCCTGTGACTCAAGGGTACTCGTGGCACTGTAGCTGAATGGTTAGCCTGTCAAGCTTCCATCCAGCACTGTCGCGGTTCGACTCCCGCTGAGGGTGTTGATAAGACCGATGCGAGGTCGAAACTGCAGTCCACTTTTGGGAAACAAGGCTATGTGAAATTCCATGGAAACGTCAGCTCAACTCATATCATTGTGGGAAAATTCTACTATCAGTCCTTCATCACCTTAGACGACGAATACATTTCATATTAAAGATGAATGAATTACACGAGATTTTTCTACTTGCAGTACTAGCAAGAAGGGTGGCCTTTGAGCCGAACTGCTTTAATATCGACAAAACGAACTCAGTATATGCCAAGAAAAGTTGCGTTTTGAGGAATCTCCTGGTTCATAATTGTTGAACTTATTTCCACTTCGAGTGAAAGCGTTTAGCGAACAGATTCGAAAGTCGATTCTACCAGAAGACGACGGCAGATTCCTCTGGACAAGCTGTCGATTGGCTCTACTTGAACATTTATGTTGACGTTGTTTCGAAGGTAATCTTCTTCGATTCCGGTGATAACATGCCCGGCTTTCGTCCGTCGCATGAAGAGCATCATCATAGCAGAGTATCATCCTTACAACCAAATTCATGCTAACTAGCCAAGAGAACAGCGTCAACAAGTATCTTTCAATAAAGCCAATCGATAGTTGATCAAGAGAAATCCGCCGTCGTCTTCCGGCTGGATCGACTTTCGAGTCTCTTCACCAAACACTTTCACTCGAAATGGAAGTAAGCTCAACAAAGTGAACTCACACTTGAATTAGGGTCTTCGCGACGAAGTAGCATACTAGCCAACAATGTCACAATACCCTTACTTACTTGTGGTCTACTCATCAAAAGGTAGCAGCACTTTGACCTTTCCTCCTAGGTGTAGAGCCAAGATCCGCCTACATGCACACCCATGTGCGATCCTACACAAATTCAGACATAGACAGACACACAAACGGCCACATGCATATCGGCATATGTACACGTGTATATATATATATATATATATATACCGATAGAAGCACCAAAAGGTGGATAC